GGCAACTTCAGGAGCGTTGGGGGGGGGGGGACAGCTGGCAGGGAGGGAGGTCTTCCCTAGCCATACGGCTACGGCACCTCTTGCCTCCCTGTCCCAAGAGGAGGGTCGTGAAAAGCAGAACGGTTGCCGTGTCTGCTGAGGAGGCCTTGGGAGGGTCGCCCTGGAATGGTGTGACTCTGTTTTGCTCTCTCTTTCCCCCCCCCCCCCAGATATGACACACCAGCCACCACTTCGAAGAAGAAAGTCCGGATCAAGGACCGCAACAAGCTTTCTACGGAGGAGCGCAGGAAGCTCTTTGAGCAGGAGGTGGCTCAGCGCGAAGCCCAGAAGCAGCAGCAGCAGCTGCAGAGCCTGGGGATGGCTTCCCCTCTTCCCTATGACTCTCTGGGCTACAGTGCCTCCCACCACGCGTTTATGGGCTACCCCCCCGGCTACCCCATGCAGTCCTACGTGGATCCCAGCAACCCGAACGCTGGGAAGGTGCTACTCCCCACCCCAAACATGGACTCCATGTGCTCCCCTGTGGCCTACGAGCACCCTCAGACTTTGGTGGGGCACCCCATTGAGCCGACCCTGACCGCTCCTCAGCCGGTCCCCGTAGTTCAGCATGTAGCAACGACCCTGGAGGTGTCGACCCCGCAGTATGTAGCACAGAGCGACCCGTCCGTGGTCCACCAGGAAGCAAGCGTCGCCGTCTTGCCGGTGCCGGCCCCTGTGCAAGGACAGAGTTATGGGGTCTGGGATTCTAGCCAGCAGACGGTCACGGTGCAGCCCTCGTATTCTCCGGCCCAGCCCCAGCCAGCCATCTACTATCAAGGACAGGCCTGTCAGACCGTCTATGGCATGACCTCCCCCTATTCTCAGACCACGCCACCCATTGTACAGGTACGTTGGCTCAGAAATTGCAGTGAGTTGTCAATGAGTTTGCAATGAATTTCCAAAGTCTGTCCTACTCAGCCTGTAAAATGTAGGCTACTCCCTACCTTTTTTGGGGGAGGGAACCCCTTTCTGGAGGCTCCGTTCTGCCCTCACGGCTCAAGCCTTTCCTTTCAAAGAAGTCTGACTTCAGTGCCGAGAACTCCCTCCCATTGTGGTTCACAACATGAATACCGGGTGTATGTTGTGGACATTAACATGTTTTCAGAAGCAACATGTGCACCCACCAAAGCAGGAGCGAAGCAAGGATGCAACCCACAAGAGAAAAAAATAAACCCGTGAATCTCCAGGGGTGCAATTCGGAGCACCTCTGAAGTATGGGAACTCAAAACTGTCTTAGCCAGGCTTTCTGGGGATGATGTGATTTGTAGTCCGAAGTGTTTGGAGAGGGCCGTTTGAGGAAAGACTGGACTAGCAGTACCGTTATCCATAGCACCTGGTAGTGCTCAGACAGGCCTCCTTTTTCCCAGGCCTGCTTGCTGGGAGCTATTTGGCTTGAGAAGCAGCCGGCTGAACCTGGGCCTTCCGGTGCCCCTGATCTAAGCCCTTGCTGTGGGAACGGGGTGGGGGGGCAGGGGGAGCTGCTTGTCTCTGAGGTCCTCTGCATCCACCATGTAAAAGGAATGCTGAGTTGTTTTTGTGTCCCACCTTTTATAGGAGTTATGTTGTGGGGGTCTAGCTTATTTATTTATTAGCATATTTATATCCTGCCCTGCGGAAGTGGAAGACCGGAGCGGAGGGCCTGGCGTGCTCTGGTCCATGGGGTCAGGAAGAGTCGGACACGACGGAACCAACTAAGCAACAGTAACAACATCCTGCCTTGTGAAAGTGTGCTGCTTATATGCCGCCCCTTTAAGCATTTTCTGGGCAGTTTATGCAGGCTATCCATTGACCCCATTCCAACTTACCCATTAAGCTGGGCGCTCAGTTTACCAACCTGAAGAGCGTAGAAGGGCGAGTCAACCTCGAGCCAGCTACCTGAGCCTAGGACAGAGGTCAGGTCGTGAGCAGAGTCTTGATTGCGATACTGCAGTTCAATCACTTTTCCAAGAGGCCACTAAAAGACACGATGTCAGATTCAGGAACAAACAAAACAATCTCGAGCAGTGGAAATCCATTGGAAATAGTTTGTTATAGGTTGATTCCATCCTTGTTCTCAGAAAGCCAGAGCCCTTTCCATGAAAACGGATGAATTTCCTCAAACTGTCTCTTGTTCCTTAGAGTTATGCACAGCCAGGCCTTCAGTATATCCAGGGGCAGCCGATTTACACGGCTCATCCTCAGGGTGTCGTAGTACAGCCCACGACAGCAGTGACCACTATTGTAACCACAGGACAGCCCCCACCAATACAGCAGGTAAGAGACGGGGATGGAGGTGGGAGAGCCTCTCGCTCGGTAACCCTGCTTGCTCCTTTGAAGAAGTTGGAGGAGCCCTGGGAAAAAATGTTAATTTTCCCAGTCATTCCAAAGGAAACTGCTTGCTGACTTCCAGCAGGATATTGCAGTGGGAGCCCGTGCCCGTGCAAGAGGGAAGCCATGTTGCACCGGGGCACCTGCGCTGCTAATTACTGGAGTTTTCCATGTATAAGACACCCCCATGTATAAGACGCCCCCACTTTTATAATCCAAAATTAAGAAGAATAAGTTGAGCTTAGCAAGTGTAGGGGAAAGGGATCAAAGCGCTGCAGGATCACTTTGATCCCTGCCTCCCCCTCCACTTGTTTTTCTCTCCTCAGTTCCGTGTATAAGATTTAAGATCTAAAGATTTTAGACAAAAGTATAGTCTTATACATGGAAAAATACCGGGTCCGTTTGCCTTAAGAGGGTGCTCTTGTTCTCCCGGTATGAAAAAGTGGCTGGGTAGCTGAGATGCAAAGAACACAACATCTTGCCTGCAGCAATGGGCCGAAAGCTTAACTGCCATCTATGGCTCTTTGCTCTATTTCTCTGCAATCTAAGAATAAACGTCACGTGATATATGTCTGTGTCTGAGGAAAGGCAAACCTTAAAAAAGCAAAGTGTGCTGCTTCTCTCGCGCCCCATAGTACTTAAAGCAAAAGTTAATTATGCAGGCTACCCATTGCCCTCCTGTGAGGTGGGTACTCAATTTACCAACCTCGGAAGAATGGAAGGCTGAATGAACCTTGAGCCGGCTACCTGGGATTGAACCCGGGATTGTGAGGAGTTTTGGCTGCAGTGTTGCAGTTCAGTCACCGCACCACAAGGCTGTGTAACATTAGGGTTATTACCAAAGGGAGAGAAAGATAAATCAGGATTGGCCTGTGAGGTTCTGTGAGTGGTTTTGCACTTTTTCCCAATGAAAATTATTTTTGTGGGCGAAAGAGTGTAATGGGCCAAAGTGGCCTCGAGGCTGTTTTGTCATCGGAATCACTGGTTTGCCTCACTTAAAGGGAACCGTTCTCTTTTTCCCTTTGATGGTGGATTTTGCCTTCTAAATCTAATTGGGTCCTTTTCAGGAGAAAGAGGAGATAAAATGATTTTAAATAAACAAATCATAGAATAAATAAATTTATTGCCTGTTTCTTCCCCCCCCCCTTCTTCTCCCTGCCACTTTGCAGCCGGAGCTGGTGGTGACCAACAATCTCTTGGACCTCCCTCCGCCCTCTCCTCCCAAACCTAAAACCATTGTCCTCCCTCCCAATTGGAAAACGGCCCGAGATCCAGAAGGGAAGATCTACTACTATCACGTGGCCACAAGGTAAAACGGCCTCTTCTCTTCCCTCGGCATCCACCCTGAGCAGCTGAACCATCACCTTCTTCAGAAGGCTTGAAACACCCATTTTTTTCTATTTTGCACAGAGTTTAATTTTGTAGGGCTGTCGTAGGTCCGCAAAGAGCCAGTGAGTGAGGTCCAGTGGAGAGGATGGCAGAGTGGGATTCCGGTGACCTGAGTTCAAATCTCAGTTTGGCCATGGGAACTCACGGGTGGGGGGTGGCCCTGGTGGAGCCATCCCCCTGCATAGCTCGTATACTTTTTTTTTGGGGGGGGGGACTTTCAATGGTAAGCATCCGTCGATTGCAACATAAAAGTGCATGACAAAGGCAGCAAACGGGGGCACATCTGTTTGGCAGGCGTCCCGGTCCACTTGCTTCTGTGACTTTTTTCTCCATCTAGTAGCTAGCAGAGTTTGCAAGGTGACTGCTTTGTTCCAGTTCAGCAGTCAGAGATCAGACAGAGACTATCAAAAGCTGCCATGGAGCACTCTTAAAAAGAAAAAACACTTGCCCGCTTCTCTTTGGGCCCTGAGATGTTCAGGCACTGCATTTCTTTCAGCTTGGAGTTTATGTTTGAAACCGAAAGCATTCTTTGGAGAGGCAGCTGGCTTTGAAGTGAATGTTCCATGGAGCGCGCCTTCCCTTAGAATCACTTGTGATCGCAGTGACAAGGAAGCTGCTTTCCACTTCATAAAACTCCATAGCTCTCCAGGGCAGGGTAGGGCTGTTGCCTTTTCGACTACGATGGGAACGTCTACTTTGTGGGAGATTCACACTTCTGGAATCCTGTAGCTGTCGTGCCTGTTGTCGTTCCGGGGCGGTGGGCGGAGGAGGGGCTTCTTAAAAGCTGTCGGGGATGCTAGGGTGGGAAACAGGGTTTTTTTTACTAACCGACCTTTTTATGTGCTGTTCAGAGCCTTTCCCCATCACATCTTGAGACCTAGCGATGGGCAATTCGTACCTGTTCATCTGTGCTGGCCCAACAGGTCTTCCGTGGGTCCAGTGCCACGCCGAGCCCCACCTTCCTCTGGACATGGCCTCTGAGTGAGCAGGGCTCAAGACTACGTCAGAACCGCAGAACGCCTGTTGGGCCGACGGCTGAACCAGCATGAACTGCCCAGCCAGCCTCTTGTGCCCATCTCGGTGGGCCTCCCTCGAATATCCGCTCCCTCCTTAGTTGAGTTTGTTTTTCTGTAGGCAAACCCAGTGGGACCCTCCAAATTGGGACAGCCCTGAGGATGATGCCAGCCTGGAGCACGAAGCTGAAATGGACCTCGGAACACCAACATATGACGAAAACCCGATGAAGGTGAGTGGCCTCGGTGGGCGGGGGGGAATGTTCCACATCACCCCCTGCGTGGGGGTAACTTGCTTGCTGCTAGCGGGCTGGGAATGAATCCAGATTCCCAGCTCAGTCCAGACTGTGTTGCAAATGCCTAAATTCACCTTCTGTTCCTGGCATGGGCACAGATGTTGCACCCAGATGTGTGCATGACTCTATTTGTGTGGTTGTACATGCCTGTCGCCCACCCATGGTAGTGAAAGCGGTTTCAGTGACTGCTATGAGAATCATCACCATGTTGGAACCTTTTTCACTGCTCTCTCTCTCTCTCTCTCTCTCTCTCTCTCTCTCTCTCTCTCTCTCTCTCTCTCTCTCACTCACTCACTCACTCACTCATACAGATACACACACAGAGTGTATAAATATGCCTCTTGAGGCTACACTCATGCATCTGATCAAGCGAGCTGCAGTCAGTGAAAGATTTTGGCCCAAGACACTTATGGTTCTTTAAGGTGCTGTAAGCTGCTTAGTTTGTCCTCCAGTACACGCTCCCCCTCAAAATGTGTGTAAGTGGTGTCGGTGAAATACCGTATTTTTCGCTCCATAAGATGCACTCCCCCCCCAAAAAAAAAGTGGGGTTAAAAATGTGTGCATCTTATGGAGCGAATGCACTTCTGCAAGGGTTCCCTCCGATGTCAGGGGAAAGCCCTTGGAGACCTCCTCGGGGTCAGATCGCAGCGGTGGGGTTTTTTAATGGCACAGACTAACAGCTGAGCTACAAAGAGAAAGGAAACAAAATAGCCTGGCGACATAATTTTTGACTTCTGCTCTGATTGATGGACGAAAAGGGAGGGGCTACTGGAAAGGTGAGTCACCAGCGGCAGCAACAGAAGTCTTTATGCTTACAGTGAATACATAGCAAAGCAGCATAAGCTTTAACTGAAAGCTTGCAGGAACTACACAGAAAGATTTGATAATTAGGTACGTCTTATGGTCAGATGCGTCTTATGGAGTGAAAAAATACAGTATATTAGAAGAATTCTGCTTCACCACTTCCTGTACACAGAAGGGTATGGTGTTACCTACTTTCTCTTCAGCACAAGACTTTTCCTAGCTGTTTCATACTTTTTTTAAAACAGTGTTTCCAGTCATCACAGCAACCAGCACTCAGAGCAACTAAAATTGGACAGTAACTTACATGAGGGACTTTCACGTATATCGGTGTGGTTTTTCAGACAGAAATGAGCTTGTTCCCCAGCCAGCACCTTCATGAAACTTGGTCGTTTCATGACTGGCAAGCATCACTTTCCAAGTTTTTTTTTCCTCCCTCAGGGTGATCTCTAAGCAGAACCTTTATCAATAAAAATTAAAGGCTGTGAAATTAACCGCTTGATGACTGAGTTTGTAGCACCTGGTCATTCTCCTGCGGTTTTGGGTTTGGTTTAACTCTTCAGCTGTAACCATAGTTTGAGAAAAGGGGCATCATATCCTGGGTGGCTTAAATTCCTTATCCCGCCCCGGAGGTTTTCACGGCCAGAATTACCAGCTGCTTGTGGGTTGTTCAGATGTGGACAGGCTTCCTTCTTTTGGACCCTGCTGTCACAGGGTGGGGCAGTGGGGCATCCCCTTGGATCTTGTAGCTGTTGGAACTGCCATAGTCTCAGGGCTCTTGCAGTGGAACGGCTGGTGGTCTAGCGTTGGGGTTTCCCAGATCCGAGTCCTAAGATGTTATTGTTAGGAGCTCAGTCAATCCAGAGGTCCCACACACAATGTGCAGAAACTGTGTTTCTTGGTGTGTCTGAAGAGGTGGATAATAATGATAGTCCTAAATACAGCAGAGAGGATGACGATCTATTCGTACAGGGATTCGTTTTTGTCAGCTCCTCTTTTCAGAAGCACAGTGATGCTGAAACAAAAATGAGACTTGGCTTTTAATTTTGAAGAATTAAAAGCACATTCCTTGTCAAAAGTGCCGTCTGGTGCAGCTTGTACGAGGAAGAGGAAACGGCACAGGCCAACTCCTGTGCTTTCATGAGCTAAAAATTTTTTTCAGTGTTGTCAATAATAACTTGTACATTTCTGTCTCTTTCCAGTCTTCCAAAAAACCCAAAACAGCAGAAGCCGACACTTCGAGTGAGCTGGCAAAGAAAAGCAAGGAAGTCTTCCGGAAGGAGGTAAAACCATGTCCGGCTTCTTCTCTGTGGCTGCTGCCTGATTTAGATGTTTGAAATCTTCCCCTGTCCTTTTAATTAGCCCAGTGGAATGTTCCACAGAGATCTAGAGAAGGGGGAAACTAACACGGCTGTGACGACTCCTATTTTGTACAGAGAAACAATCTTGGGAAACTATGATGTTACTGCCTGCCCGCCTGTCTGTCTTTCTTAGCTGTTTGGAGAGAAATTAGCAGTGAGTTGACATGACCTCCCTTTTTACCCCGCAGATGTCTCAGTTCATTGTGCAATGCCTGAACCCCTATCGCAAGCCGGATTGCAAAGTGGGACGAATAACCACAACTGAAGACTTCAAGCACCTTGCACGAAAGGTACCCTGTGTGTGTTTTAGCTGGAGGTTGTTTTTTGTAAAGAAAAGTGGCAGTGAAGTTTGCTTAGCTCAGAAATGAGCCCCGGGGGGGGGGGGGCAGAAGCAGGCACGGTGAGCCCCGCCCCAGAATTTTCTCCAGCTTAAAGGAAAGTTAGCGTTGGAGATGCCGTTCTGATTTAACTCTCCTTGGAAGATCTCCACCCTTAGGAAAGAGAAGGCCAGCAGGCTGTCAAGACAGATTTCCCAGGCAAAGGAACAAAAAAATATGAAGGGTTTCCCTTGTCACAGTGGCACCCGGCTCAAAAAATCATTTGTTTTCCTGGTTTGGAAGGATGGGTTGGGTGGGTGAGTGGTTGGTTGGTTGGTTGATTAGATGGTTGGTTGATTTTACCCTGCCTTTCTTCTTAAATGCACCCAATTTAGTATCCTTTCCAAAGCAAGGAGCAGAGAATTCACACATCTCCGGTTTGTCAGAAACTGAGGCATATATAGCATAGGCATCTTTCAGTCTCGAGAGACTATGGTAACATGCTCTGAATCGAGGAGTGTCCTCTCCAGAGCATGAAGCCCGGGTAATGTAGTATGGAGGATAGGCTGATACCCAAGCAGCAGATCCCCCCTCTCCACATTGCTGAAATGATCCAATGGAAAGGCAAGAGCCAATACAACTGGTTCCAGCAATGTCGCAGGAGTTGGCAGAACGACACATGCTGCCTTTGGAATTCCAGCTACAGATTTTGCCTGAGGTTAACTCCCGAAGCCTTTTCCATGAGTGGATATAGCCACAAGGCAGTGGAGGTGTGAAATTGGAGTTTTCCTTCTCCTAGATGGGCTGCCTTCCATGGCTGACGAGCCCCACCTCCCCGGCCTGCTCTTTAATAGTGCGAAAGTATGATCTGACCTTTAAAACTTTCCTGCCTCCCAGGCTTATGCAAATCTAATTGGCTTTCCTATTTACCATATTAGCATTTGAGAATTTTGCACGCTGTTAGGCGCACAGTCCTGGGACACGCTCTTTTAAAGCAAAAAGTCCCACCCTTAGGCCCCAACCCCAGGCCATGTGGTGAGGAGACAAGAAGAAAGCCCAGGAAAAAGAAACTGAGGCAGTGGCTTACTAAATGATCTTCCAATGATCTCAGAGATTTATAGTAGAAATGAGGGTTAAGCTGCTGTAAAAGGAGCTTGAGATGATGATGGGAGGAAGAGAGGGAAGGGTTCTTTCTCCATTTGACATGACAGCTGGAGAAGAAGGAGAGAAGCCGAGCGCCTCCCTAAACTCCCCGAGGACAACTGTGTGTCTCAGCAGCACCACTGGAGCACACTATCCTTCCTTGGAAGTTCTTGCCAGCTTCCCTTTTCCTAAGAGGACTGGCCCAAGACGCTCGGTTTCCTCTTTTGGATGCCAATCCTCCAGGGTAGATCTCTTCCCCTAACCCGTCCCAGGGTGGTCTTCATGTTGGGATGGGGCAAAAGGCTGAACCCTGGAAGCCCTGCCTGCTCCCAGACAAAGCTGCTGGCTTCTAGCAGTTCCGAGTCCCTCTCTGGAAAAGAAATGGGGATGATGGGAAGGAACATCATCATACCAATTACCGGCACTAGCCAAAGCAAGTTTGGGCCATTTTCTTTCTTCCTCCATATAAATGTCCAGATTTGTTGTTCTTCTCAGTCTTTCTCAGCCTCTGGGTTTTGTTTGCATGGATGAGACCTATGGATCTTGTTCCCTCCCTCTCTTTCTCTCCTCTCCCCTTCACACATACACATATCCATAGGCCGTAGGTAAAGGTAAAGGTTCCCCTTGACATTGAGTCCACTCGTGTCCGACTCTCAAGCGCGGTGCTCATCTCCATCTCCAAGCCGTAGAGCCAGTGTTTGTTTGTAGACTGTTCCCGTGGGCACGTGGCCAGCGCAACTAGACACGGAGTGCCATGACCTTCCCCCCATGGTGGTGGTACCTATTTATCTGCTCACATTTTTACATGCTTTCAAACTGCTAGGTTGGCAGGAGAAAGAGCTAAACTGAGAACCATCCTGTGACGTGAAGTGTGCCTTGTTTTTCGTCGCACTCCCTTAGTTGCAACCGGGATCCCTCTTCTGTCTCTGTCTCTCTTTCTCTCCATCCCCCCTTTTAGGGCCGGTTTTGTTCTCATCTCTCATTTTCCTTCCTGCTCCTCTTCCACAGCTGACCCACGGAGTGATGAACAAGGAACTGAAATACTGCAAGACTCCGGAAGACTTGGAGTGCAATGAGAACGTGAAACACAAGACGAAAGAATACATTAAGAAATACATGCAGAAATTTGGGGCGCTTTACAAACCCAAAGAGGACACGGATTTGGAGTAGTTCCAGCAGGAAAGGTGTTTTTGCTGCTGCTGCTGCTTTTGAAAAGCCAGCTTTCCAGGAACGCCTCTCTTCTGGGTAGGATTTCTGGCTTCTGCAGGGTGTCGTCTGCCATCAACAAGCCTGGGCCAGTCTTGTGGCACACATGCCCCTCTTTACGGGGTTGGGTGGGTTTTGGAGACCAGGCAGGAAAAGCAGTGCGGAAAACAAACCCAGACACCCGCCACATGTGTGTGTGTGTGTGATTGTGTGTGTGAGAGAGACAGCACGCCCCCACTCAGCAGTCCTTCTCTGCAGGCGAGGTGGAGTTTGCAACCTGGCGGTGCTGTTTTCGTAAAACAACCTGTCTTGTCTCCGCCTTCAGAATCTGTATGATATTTTAACATATATGTGAATATATTGAGGGTTTCTCTCCCCCCCCCCTTTTATTCCCTCCTTCCTTTTAGCCCAACCTGTGTTGATATTGTGGGAACACTTTGTAAGAATAGCTTCGAGGGATTTTCCTTCTCCTGTTTTGTTTTGGGTTTTTTTGTTTTGTTTTGTTTTTCGGTTCTCTGCGAGATTTAATCTGTTCTCATCATGTAAATATTTGCAAAACAGGCTGCCTCAAAGGTTTCTGGCCGGCCACGTGCTCTGTTGATAAGATTGGTTTTACTGCTTAAATCATTTACTTTATCCAATTTTTACTGAAGTTTTTATGTAAAAGAAAAAAATTAAAAAATGGAATAAAATGGCAGTGAAAGAACAAAAAACGAGCTCTTGAACTTTCCGCTGAAATTTGGGCAACACAAAGGGGAAGGATGACGAGGTTTCGGATCCCTTTGATGCATTGAAGGAAAC